ATAAATTAACTATAGTGTCCTACACCCACTAGTAAAAAAATATCAAAAATTATAGGCTATCTGGTCTCTGAATTATTTTTGGTTTGACTGTATATCCTTCTGTTATTTTCACACTTAATTATGCCCATTAAAATTTATTTTACAAGTTTTTGTTACTTTCACGGTTCATTTTTTCTCTCTCTATGGTAGCCTACACCATCTTTAATTTAATAGCATTAGAGCTGCTCCATTGCAGCGGCTTAGTATAGGCTACTGTAATCACGCGATTTGCTGTAAAAATGCAGGGAACCACTCGCTATAAATGGGATATTCACTCGACAAGCTCGCGCATCTGCGCCGCCGCGCGCTCAATCCACTCAGCGTGCTTTGCTTACCAGCTGGCGCAAATCAGCTATACAGGCATTAATACTGAATGTTTTATATTCATTGCATACATATACTTCGTAGAAATCTTTAATCTCTAATAACCCCATTCTGCTGTCTGTTGTCGGTGTTTCTTTGTCCGAATATGGCACTTATCACATGCTGTGTGGTATCGGGGCATTTTAACGAGTGCGAGTACAGGAGCTCAGTATCGGGCCCGATACCGATGGTGCATCCCTAATAAATATATATATATATATAGTTGATAACGATAATTTAGACTTTTGTCGAAAAGATTTTTCGTAGTAGTTTTTTGTGCTTGTACCTTGGATGTTTTTTTTTTTTTTCAGGATTTTTTTTACCTTTATAAGAGCAATATTTTCCAACCTTATTAGATGTATGCATCATCTATGTAGCTATGTAGCTAAAAACACCAATTGGTGGCGGCAAGTCAATGTCTTAATGAGTGAGCCATTGACTCATTCATTAATCATTTGTTGAAACGGATTATTAATTCAGGAAAGAAGCAAGTGTATTTATGAATGGGTCATTTAATCATTGACTCACCTGATTAAAAAAAGTGGATTTATTGAGTAACGAAACACTGTTGTACAGCAAAAACAGACAATAGTGTAGCTAAACGTAATTCACTATTAACTTGTTTATTGATTGGTATAAAATCAGTACACAATTAAAATCAATATCATGTTTGAAATAATTCTGATATTTGGGAAAAACAGCACGCTTTATTATATAAATATATTATATAAATATAAGACAAAGACATTTTAACTGCATTATATTAGGCTACATCACAGACATGATTTTGTTCATTTTTTATTTATTTATTTTTTTTTTACAAAGTGAGTAGCATGCTTCATAATGTCAGCTCACACATCATTAAAACAACAAATATGGTGTTATCATAGAAAATACATATTGCAAACCCCTAATGACCGCTCACATCCACATTATTGTCTTTAAATAGGGTGGTGTTCACAAAAGGCTAATCAATCATAACAGGTCATTTACAAGTAGTCTTAAAAGAACAGCAACAAAAACAACCTGTTTGAGTCATTTAAAACAATTATGCCTGTTTTGGTGAGACTAACGAAGAAGAGAGGAAAAATGCAAGCTGCTCTTAAAACAGCACATATCAGTTTACACACCTCTCCTCTTGCCAGAGCTCCGACATTCTGGCTGTTAGCTCATCATGAGTGTCTGAATAGCTAAGAGCAGAGGTGGAAAACTAGCATCTCATAGGAATAAAAACAGCTTTAGTAACCATGGCAACATGGAGAGAAGATGATAATCTGTGTAATCTGGCCAGATATGCCAGTTGTTAACATGAAAACCTCATGAAATTCAAACCACAAGTGACTGAAAACAAAGATGAATGTTGGTATGGGTAGGTACTTACTATGGGAGGTATAACGGCTGCTCTCTGCTTGAGCTGGTTGATGTCCAGTGGTTTCTGAACTGGAGAAGTGATCACTCCATCATGGGCGAAACTCAACATACTTGGCCTAGCAGACATTGTGCTGAGAGTGAGAAGAGCAGAGAAGAGTTATTGCTTAATATGGTCAGAGCCTCATTCTCTCTTATTTACTGTCTTTGTAAACAGCCCATTAATGCCACAAAACCACAAACACACACACTTAATCATCATCGCAACACATAAACAAATATAGACTTTCCACATGAAGTCTTATGGAAATGCAAAATACACAAAAGACAGACAGCCAGCCTGACAGACACACACACTTCTCGCTCTGTTATGTTTGGCAAGCTCACAGGCTAATGTTTCCCCTGACTCGGCCAACATATACAGTGTTTGCTGTCATGGAAAAAATAAAGTCCTACAGGACAAATCAACAAACCCTGCCTCCTTAACTGCAAAACACATGAGACCACACCCAAGCAACCAATCAATCATCCCTCTCATACACACACATGCACACTCTCACCTGTTCTTGTCTGAGCTTTCCGTCTCCTCCACCTCATCGGCACTGCATGTGGCGCTGGAGTCACTGTCTTGAGCTCCACTCTTTCCTCCATGCTCTTTCTTTTTGACCTCTTTCTTGCCCTCCTCCACCTCCAGGGCAGGAGGCTTCCTATCTTCTCCTGTCGCTTCCTTACCACACTCCCCCGGTTCAGTCTTTACTTCCTGCTTCACTCCTCCCTGCTCCCCTTCTCCTTTCTCCATTTTTGGCTTTTCTTCCGGCCCCGTCTCCATAGCTGCCGTGTCCTTGTCCATGGAGGATGAGGAGGAAGTGGCATTGGTTGCAGTTTTGGGCCATGCCGACCCCTCTTCTTTGACCTTGCTGTCATCTGAGGAGTGTGGGGAAGGGAGGCTCTCGGTGTCTGAGCTGTTATTAGCTCCACCTGAAAAACGAAGTGATGGGAAACGTCATAAGAGGGCAGGACATGAATGTCAGCTAATTTGTTAAGTGTGGTTTGATTGGCAAGGCGTTTTTATGGGCAATTCATTCTTCAATTTGGGGCCCTTCTGGCTTCCTGAAAATTATATTATTTGTTTTATCCATGTTAAAACATTTCTTCCATGTTCTGGAATAAAGATCTGATTATGGACATGATAACCTTCAATTTTGGTAAAGTACACTACTGTTCAAAAAATGTAGGGGTGGTAAGCTTATTTTAATGTTTCTGAAAGAAGTCTCTTATGCTCACTAAGGCTGCATTTGAGTAAAAACACAGTAAGAGCAGTAATATTGTGAAATATTACAAATTTAAAAATCTCTTCCATTTGAATCTATTTTAAAATATAATTTAATCCTGGGATGGCGAAGTTTAATTTTTAGCAGCCATTACTCCAGTCTTCAGTGTCACACAATGCTTCAGAAATCAATTTTAATATGATGATTTGCTGCTCATGAAATGTTTCTTATTATCAATGCTGAAACAAGTGTGCTGATAATAATACATTTTGTGAAAACCATGATGCATCTTTTAAAGATTCTTTGATTATTAGGAAGTTCATAAGAACAGCATTTGAAACCGATTTTTTTGTAACATTGTAAATGTCTTACGCTCACTTTTAATCAATTTAATGCAACAGTACTGTATGTGATGGTGGTATATTAATATTGTGTTTAATGGTGTCATTTTTGGAGAAATAGGTGATAAGGACCACACAAAATTTTGACACTTTGGGCCCAATTTGGACATTTTCACTTAGGGGTGTACTCACTTTTGTGGCCAGCGGTTTAGACATTAATGGCTGTGTGTTGAGTTATTTTGAGGGGACAGCAAATTTACACTGTTATACAAGCTGTACACTCACTACTTTACATTGTAGCAAAGTGTCATTTCTTCAGTGTTGTCACATGAAAAGTTATAAAATATTTACAAAAATGTGAGGGGTGTACTCACTTCTGTGAGATACTGTATATATATATATTTTGCACATATAAAAACCAAAGAAAACTTTCAAAAATATGATTTTTAGGCAAGGAAAGTATGAAGAGGAATTTAAAAGCCCCAAAAACACTTGAAAAAGGATACCATAAACAGCAAAATCTAATATAGCATGTCCTTTAAAATGGAACAATTGCTTTAAAACTTTTTTTATTTTAAAATCATCCAGGGTCACAGAAAAGCTCCTGAACGAAGAATCACTCTTATCTAAATCTAACATGTCCTTTGTCAAATCAAAAAGTAAACATAACTAGTAAATACACAGCAGGGGATTATGATAAGCCTCATTTTCCCACTGGCTTAACAAACCCCAGCCATTGAGTGTGCTCTCCCAGCTGGATGTAATTACACAATAACCATAACATAATAAGCACTTCCCTTGCTGGCTTTCTTTCACAAGCTTTGACCTGATAAATGTGGCTTTATGAAAGCTTACGAAAGCCATTTATCGGCAAGCCACACCTGATTGCCAAACACACAGCACAAAGCGTTTGTTTCATAGCTGCCTGGCAGGCTTGTGGAAGTACAGCTCCAAAACTACGTCTACAGCACAACATACACTTTGACACCCAGACAGTCTGGTCACTCCACTATAACAAAACCACTTCACAATACGCAGCTCTCCTGGAAAAGCAATTCATGCTTGCGCAGAGAGTGTTTCTTTCTCAGAACTTGACAAAAGTAGGTCAGGGTGTATCACGGGTGAGGTCATAGGTGAGTCGAAGCCACGTGTTCCTGATATTCTGAGAAAAGCACTCTGCTGTTTGATTCGAGCTGCTGTGGGACTTCCTGGCAACCACAAAACCTCAGAGGTGTTTGGTTTCAGTGTGAACTGTCTCATAGCTACGGCTGATAACATAATTACCATACAGCTCATTTGTTTCTCAGATCTTAACTCTGAGTTTCATTACTTCCATTACACAAAGTCAATGAGACATGTGCAACAAATGACTGTTTGAAGTTACTGCACAATAATGTGCAAGAATCAAGTGTTTGTATCCATACCCTCTCCATCCTCCTGAGCCTCCTCCTCATTGCCACTGACTCCCGATCCCTCCATCTCCTCTTCAGCAGATGGAGCGCTGGCCTCCTCGTTCTGAAGAGCTTTACCTTTGCGTCTGGCCTTACGCTCTTTCTCCTACAAAAAACACAAGCACAAAAACACAACACCATGAAACCAATACTACTGACAATTATAAATAATTAATCCCTCACTCTCTGAGAACTGACCGATTTTATTTTATGCTGTTGCAGAATCTCATCCAGTTTCTGTCTCTTCTTGTAGTTAAAGTAGAAGTTCTTGCACTGGGAGACTGTTTTGGAGCCCACCATCTTGGCGATTGCGGACCAATTTCTGCCATACTGGAGCAGACCTATGAAAGAAAAAAGGAACATTCTCACTTTACTAACGTAAAAACAGGAACAGAACTATGAGTGATAGAGTAACTATCGTCATAGCTATCTCAACGCACGAAAGACAATGTCATTGTCTGCATGACAACTAAAAAGTCCCTTAATTTTATTGATACAGAGAATGGGAAATGCTGATGAGACCACTATAATGGCCAGGCAGATTAATCACAATTTCATTTAAAAATAAAAAAACAGCTATTTTAAACTGTAAAATTTCACACTATTATTGATTTTACTGTTTTTATCAAATAAATGCATCCTTGGTCAGCCTTGGTTTAACAAAAAACAACAACCCCAAATTTTTAACGGTAGTGTAGAGGTGTAGGTCTCATTTTTTTACTTGGTGTCCCACTAAGTCACATGCACTCAAAATAGGGCAGCACCAAGGCCGTTACAGTTTATATAAGATTTATATTACACAGTCTAACAGACAATATCTATCAACACACTAACACACAAGACCCCTGTGTGCTGGGTTACGGAAGCCTCAAGCGTTCCCATTTGCCCAGCCTTGCGTCGTCATTAAGAAAAATTTCAACGAAAGGTCAAAGATCATATGCTGCCGTCTGAAGAAGGAAAGTGGGGCAACAGCCTGACATGAACTGTTCTCAATCATTTAACACCAAGCTAACGCTCAGCAGACGTCAGCCAAGTCGATGTGTGCTGGTTAGCTTCACATTAGGAACCTATCTTGTCCAGTCTAAATAACTGCTTTGGATTTATATCGCTAGTGACCACAATAAAGCACTACTGCCTCCACATCAAAGCTACAGGACAGTCAGTGTAGCTTGGACAGGGACAGAGAGAATGAGATGGAGAGATAAAATGAAGAGTGTAAGTGCATGGAGCTGAATAAAAAATGCCCTTAGTGATATACAAACAAACAAAGCAAGAAATCATTTGAAGTCTGATTTGTATGCTTATCCTCACCATCTCTGATCATTGTTTCTGTCTCTGTTTATTCTTCAAACTTCCAGTTGTTTGTCAGAAATGCAAGCACATCCTAATCTATGTAACATGGCAAACACACAGACACTGCAGTGCAAAGACTGCTTAAATAAAAGCAGATACATTACCCAGAAGTACTTCTATATAACGGGTCAAAAGTCAAGGAAACTCCATTTTTGCCCAATCCAACAAATGTCAAAGTAGCTGTTAAATCCAGTGAAGGGCCAAACACTGTCCAAAACTTCCTGAAATTAAGGTTTCATCCACCTTCAATTTCAAAACATTGCATTTTGTCCAGTATCTCCAAATGTAAGAGTACTCCAATAAGACAATGCTGTCCAATCAGCTTTGGTAATTCAAGAGCATGTACCAATGCTACATCCAATTGAAATCCTCAGCATTGGCCCACTGTGGATCGTCCAATCAGGGTGTTGCATAAAGAAAATTTGCAGCCCACTCTTCCTCTCTTCTCTATCACTCAATCAGTCTTTTCATCTTTGCTCACATGATTTCCATGGAAATGCACAGCAGAGGCACTTGGAGCTCCAGAACAGCATGAGGAAGAGCAAGAAAGTAGAATAGAGAAAAAGGGAGTGGTTTTTGGGAGGGAAATGAGCTCCCCATTCCTCCTCTGATAGTTGCGCTGTTGTTTCTCTGTCTCTAAACAGAGCAGCCCTTCTCTTTTTCTTCTCCCCTCTCTCTCTCTCTCTCTCTCTCTCTCTATTTATCAAACTCACGCGCTTTCCGTCGCCAGCCTTCTCTCGCTTTCTGTCTCAAGGCCACAGTTTTTTTCCACTCCTCTTCACTGGCTGCCGCTTGGCTGGAATTTAACAGCAAAGTGAAGCTGAGATGCAGTGACTCCACCTCCCTAATGCCCGTCCTCCCTCCCTCCCTCCACAACCTCATCTGATCTCTTCTATCATTCTCTCTTTTGCGCTCTCTAATGCATATTATCTGTGCCAAAACACATCTACGCTCAAACACACAAAAACAAACAGACAATGAGAGCAAGAGATTGTGGCAGAAATAAAGAGAGAGCTTTGAGAGGTTTGATGTTGATATCACGAGAAAGCAGAGGGAAAGCAATTCCTCCAAACTGACCTGCTTTTCTTCTTCAATGTGACCTCTACACACAGTCCTTAACAACAGTGTGAGAGAGGGAGAAACAGAGAGGCTTGCCAAATACTCTAATTCATGCCAACCCACAATTCAGCCACTTCCTTTCTCACTGCACTCCAACAACTGAATCTAACCACTCACTCATTGCTACAGAAAGAAAGAAACTGAAAGACAGAGAGAAAGAGAGAAAAAAAGACAGATAGAAATACAGAAAAAGACAAATACAAAGACAAACAGATAAAAAGAAAACAAACAGAATGAAATACAGAGAAAGAAATAAAAAAAGAAAATATAGCTGCAAGCAGCGATGACGGGCCCAAGCCACCAGTGCAACTGCTACCCTGGTGGCATCAGGAAAACGGTGCACAGCAGGCACATGCATTTACAGAAACCCTCTGGCAGTCTGGTTTTAGGGTTACAACAATGCAAGGGTTACAATGTAACATCAAGAGTGTGAAACACAAGCACACACAGAACAATATATAAGTCTTTGGTAACACTTTACAATAAGGTTTCATTTGTTAACATTAATAAACTATATTAGTTAACATGAAACATTTATATAGCATTTATTAAACTTAGTTAATTTTAAGTTCAAAACTTACTAACATTATATATTAATATAATATATTGTTCTTTGTTAGTTCATGTTAATGCATTAACTCATGTTAACAAATGAGACCTTATTGTAAAGTGTTACCAAAACTTTTAATGATCTATAAACATTTTAATTATTTCAATGATCTATAAGCATTATTGAAATAATTATAGGAAAACTATATTTCCAGTACAGTACATATCAACTTATTTTATGTATTTGTTTGTCATTCTAACTAATGGAACTGAGCAGTAAAGGATCAGGCTTAAAATACTTCTTATCCTATGACTATCTAGTGGACAACCTTAGTTTTTAATTTGCTGTTTGCCCCAGAAAGGGTTATTCTATAATATTAAGAGTGTGAAACAGATACACACACAGAGAGGGTATGATTTATAAATCTTTCAATGGTCTATAAGAATTTTAAAATGATTTAAATGATCTATAAGCATTTGCAAAATAATTATATTAAACTATATCGACAGCACATGACATATCAACTGATTATAAGGATTTATTTGTCATTTTAAGGGATGGAGAGTTAGCTAAAAAAAAAAAAAAAAGATTAGTCTTAAAATATTTATTATCCTATGACTCCATCTTGTGGACAACCTTAGTATTACAGCCTTCACCTGTCAGCTGAAATGTCTGATCGTTTTTAATTTGCTGTGAGCCCCCAGAGCAGAGTAAATTTATTAAACTAAGCATGTTTCCTCAGAATTACATGTTCTCCATATGTAAAAAGTTTTGAAGTGTTTGGATAATGCACTTTAAAGATATAAGAAAATTACTGTTTCCTTTTTTACTGTTGTTTTAATAAATCGCCATGGCAACACCATTCAAGATATCCAACATCCTAGGGCTGCCCCCTAATAGTCGACGAGAAGAGGTTTAGTCGATCAAAATTTTATTAGTCACTTAGTCGCAGAGAAAAAATTATAATAATTCCACAGAAGTGGTGAAGTCATGTAGTCCGTGACAGTCAATGAACGAAGGTCTTATGGATTTGGAACGATACGAGGGTGAGTAATTAAAGACAGAATTTAAATTTTTTGGTGAACTTTCTCTAACTTGGGGGTAGGCCTGTACATGCAATAATCAATATATCAACTTATCGCGCAATATATGTACATGACCTCAATAATTTTTGGTGACGCAATATATCGCCCATTATATTTACTTAAAAATTAATGTCACCATGTTTTGTACATTCCACTTGCATCTGTGTCTTTTGCAGCTTCTCGTACATAACGTGGTGTAGTCATGAGGTGCTAGTTCAAATTTAAAAAATGCTTCTACAAACAAAGTTTCATCTGCAGATATGATCTAGTTTATGGATCTGATACTTAATTTCCATGATCTAAATATTCTTAAAAATTATTTTTGTCTGTCTCATTTTTGCTCATACAGAGTAATACAGCTTTCTAATTTGTAAAAGGTTTACTTTTATTTGTTTGCACTCACAATAAAAAAACGTTGTGCTTTGCAAAATAATGAAAGCAAACAGGGTGTGCTTTCTGCCATCTAGGTCTCAGTGAACTTGAGCACATCAAAAAAAAATTAACTGAAACTCTGTGCTTGCGTCACAGACATGCGTACTTTTGCCTGCAGTGTGAATGTAGCCTTAGATACCTCTAAGTTATTGGTGTTAATCTGACAGAATAATTAATTTCCTTAATTATATGACAACCCCTATTTAACTGGCAGCATTCCTCCAATTTTCACTGAGATTGCAAGATGGTGAGCCGCTCTAAGATGAATGAAACCCTGCGACAGGAGGTGGTCTAGATGAAGGCCAAAGGCATTATTCTTTCAGCCCTGGCAAGAGAAGCTAGTCATTCCAAATCTGTGATTTCTAAAATATTGCAGGTTTACAATGACACTAATTCATTCAAGTCCCTCCAAAAGACTGGTCGTCCACGTAAGACAAATGCACGAGAAGAGAGGATAATGCGGAGACATTAATACAGATATTAAAATTAAATATCTGTAATTACAGATTTAGGTTAAAAAGATGTCAGTCTTTATTTTTCTTCTTTTTAGGAAACAAATCAAAGAAAAATAAACAAATTCTACTGTTCCTAATATTCTGTATGTTGCTCAAAAACAAAATATATTGTGTTCAGCGGTAAAAAAAAATAAAAAAATTTTTTTACCCAGTCATTTAAAAATAACACATTTTAGAGCTGTAACGACAATACCGTGATACCGTGAAACCGTGATATGTTTGCTTAAGGTTATCATACCGTCAAAATTTCATACCGGCCCATGCCTAGAAGTGGCACAAATCGGAATTGAAAATATCAGATTCCATGTGGTTTGTGCTGTTCACCACTGTCATGAGAAAAACAGATCTGAGTCACATGTGAGCATTCAGCAACATTGCTGAGCAAACATCAGATTTGGGCCACTTTTGCCTGCAGTGTGAATGTAGCCTTAGATACCTCTAAATTATTGGTGTTAATCTGACAGAATAATTAATTTCCTTAATTATACGACAACCCCTATTTAACTGGCAGCATTCCTCTAATTTTCACTGAGATTGCAAGATGGTGAGCCGCTCTAAGATGAATGAAAGCCTGCGACAGGAGGTGGTCTAGATGAAGGCCAAAGGCATTATTCTTTCAGCCCTGGCAAGAGAAGCTAGTCATTCCAAATCTGTGATTTCTAAAATATTGCAGGTTTACAATGACACTAATTCATTCAAGTCCCTCCAAAAGACTGGTCGTCCACGTAAGACAAATGCACGAGAAGAGAGGATAATGCGGAGACTCTCAATGAGGAATCGGTTCAACACTGCAGCTGGAATTGCTCGCCAGTTCAGCGCTGAACCGGGTAAGGATCTGTCTCGGCATGTTTAAGAGGAGTCAGACTGAAAACGCACTCTGCAGTGACCAAGTCTCTCATCAGCAGAAAGAATCAAAAGGCTAGGCTAACCTTTGCTGAGGAGCATGTTGTGTGGACAGAGGAGAACTTGTCCAAAGTTCACTTTAGTGATGACAGCAAGTTTAATTTATTTGGGTCTGATGGAACACATTTTGTTCAGTGTCAAACAGGGGAAAGACTGAACCCCGAGTGCGTAAAGAAGTCAGAGAAAGGTGGAGAAGGAAGTGTCATGCTTTGGGGGATTTGGATTAGGAGTTGGATTTGGATTAGGAGTTGGATTTGGATTAGGAGTTGGGCCTTTTATAGAGCTACATGGTAGCATGAATGCAAATATGTGCGAGATAACGGAGAAAACCACTTTCGCTAATATTCTGTCGAATAATTAATAATTAATTTATAATTTGTGTTGTGCACTGAGACAAACAAACCGCGCTCGAGCGCGGCACAGAGCGCTCACACTAGTCAAACGAACCGGGCTTTGGGGGTCAAACGTGCTCGGGCACGGTTCAAAACGCCTAGTGTGAGTACACCCTGAAATGGCCAGCCCAGAATCCTGATCTAAACCCAACTGAAAATCTCTAGAGAAACCTTGGAGACAAAGTTATGGCTAAGAAAACGAAATATGGAAGAGAGCTGAAGAAGAGTGGACAAAGATCACACCAGATGTGCTTAAGTCATTCAAAGCCAGGGCCTCTACATTTCCTACTAATTTCTGACATCTGTAGCCCTCCAAGATTTTAGTTGTAATCTTCTTTCGTTCCACAGTGGTTACGGTTCTCTAATTTTTATCACTGTGTTTTCCACAAAATAAAGGTTTTTGTTGAAATGCCTTGGTTATTTTGTCAAACATATTATTAGAACAGTGGTATACCTACAGCTAATATTCCTTCAAATTTTGAGTGTTTGAGTGTTAACAATATTTCAGAAAATATCAAGTATTTATAGATTGTTCTCTAATTTGAATCTCCACTGTGCATACATATACAGTGGGTACGGAAAGTATTCAGACCCCCTTAAATTTTTCACTCTTTGTTATATTGCAGCCATTTGCTAAAATCATTTAAGTTAATTTTTTTTCCTCATTAATGTACACACAGCACCCCATATTGACAACTTGAAAATCATTGAAAAGTGCATGAATTTATCTCAAAAGGTTGTACAAACCCTGAAATGAATAATGGTTATAGTTGGCATAACTACTTTTGGTTTTCTATGTCAGCGATGTTTGAATGCTTCTCACTAAATCTAGAAGCAACCTTATTCATTCTGCTGTGAATTCAAATGCTTCTGACTGGATCTTAATTGTGTTTGCACAAATGGCTCCATACAGCGGGAATATTGTCCAGTAAATAAATGCAGTGGTGACAAATTAACCAACATGGGTTCTGACCTTTCTTTGCGGTCTCCATCTCCTCTTCAGTCCAACGAGAACTTTCATTCATCTCCAGGTTTGCTAAAAAAGATAAGAAGAAAAGATGAATGTCATGTAACGTGAGATAATACCTAAGTCTCTATAATGCAATTCAGCGACCATCTTGGTAACAACCCAGGTTGCAGTTTACGTTCTATCTACATGAATGGGAAGAGATCAAAATCTCCAAAACTCTTTCAATAAAATTGTTTCAATAAAATATTTCGTTAAGCAATTAAATCTGACAAATCTAACTGGTATAAAATGATTTTTTTAACCCAAATCAGGCAATCAAATCAATAAATAAAGTGTGTAATGCAAGAGGTAGTCGACACAAAATAAAGGTTGCAAATTCATATCCATACTTTAAATCACTTAAAACTAATCCAAACTAAAAGCACAAAGCACAAACTTGTGAAAATGACTCAAGCTCTTATGACATTAGTAAGGCAGTGTTTTGACCCTTATGCTGTAATAGGGGACGTTTTTAAATGAAGCACAATCAACGAAAGTTCAAGAAAACTATAAGCTAGATGAGCTCTAAACTTCATGAAAAAGTGCATTTCGGAAATTGAAATGCCTTCTCATCATAAAACCAGGGAACATTGTGACACTCGAGGGACAGATGGTTTCTACTCAGCCATTTATTTGTACAGCATTTCATTATTAGGATCATTCTCGTTCTGTTGATATTGCTGTTAAAATGCCCTCACATTTTGGGAAAACAGAAAAGTGAAGTTATAAAACTACAAGTGGGACAATGTTATACAATAAAAGGTTGTGCACAGTTAATTTGCAGAGCAAAATAAAGAACTAATTTGAACACGTGACCTCAGAGACACACTGAAAAAAGTCAATGGTATGTGAGTGTGTGCTAACCCAGCTCACTGCTTAGCGGTGAAGTGTTTTCTTCCTGCTCATTGGTCATAGAGCGAGTGACTCGTCCTTTCCGGTGTCCTCGGCTGTTTGCAGTGCGCCGGCCTTTAGCGGTTACAGGAGGCTCTTTCTCCTCCCCGTCCTCACCAGAGGTGTCATCTCTGCAAGAACAGAAAAAAAAAAATCATTATCATAGTTGCATTATGCTCTTATCGCAGCAAAATTATTCACACATCATGTTTGATTATCATCCATCATTTGAATTTTTTTTATCAATATCAATATGATTACATCAATACTGAAAAGCATTTATATTAGGCATGTTTACCTCAATTCGAGTATATTCTTGTTTTTATGATGGGTTTCAAGAGCACAGAATCTTTAAAAAAAAAAAAATACATTATGTATAATGTCACTAAGCAGGCAAAAAAACAGAGCAATAGATAAAATGCTAGAACGATTGATAAGAGTGCTAGAACGATAAATAGAATGATAGAACGAGATAGAATGATAGAAAGATAGAACGTCAGACAGAACGACAGAACGATATAGATAGATAGATAGATAGATAGATAGATAGAACGACAGAACAATAGATAGATATAGATAGACAGACAGACAGACAGACAGACAGACAGACGATGGGTAAATTTCTAAAAAAATTTAAATCAGAGCATTCCTATTAGAAAAAAATATTTGTAAGGTAACTTGCTGATAGTACACACAGAACCAAAAACATTAACCATATATGAATGTGAACACACTATGCAAATGCTGGCTCACTAGCTAGTGTATTCCCCCTTCAGCAGTATGGCACAGTGTCAGGACGTGGCTGTGGGATGAGCAGACCCTCATTTATCTTACCTGCACATTATCCATCTTGCAGATACAGTACTAAATATAGGAGCAGCAGCTGTGCCCGCAGGTTGTGAGAATCATAGGGGAAAAGTCAGAGAAATGCACAGACTTGGCTTAATGCACTCATTTAATGTATAGCTAGCATGCTGGGGCGTATACTTAGGCCTGTGTATTCGGGCCAGTGCTAATATGCTTTAATCACACCCTACAGTACTGCTGACTACACAGGTTTAGTTTAGATTAATACACTGTTACCTGTACTTCCCAAGAGTATATAAATACAGTGTGCACCTGCGAGTGAACTAGTGTTCAGAAACTAACATCTCATTAAATTAGGCTGAAATGATACAGAACAGCATCTGTACATAGCCATTGTTTAGTGAAAACTAGAAGGCTGTTTCTACTTGGAATGTCAAAAGGGCCAATTTATTATGCTGTTAATATTAATCAAATAACAATATTGAGAAGAAAAAGACAAACCCAGTCACAGGTTTTTTGCCATTTATAACTTGAATAAATTAATTTATTTTAAATGTTTATATAAACTAAAAAATAAAATATATTTATTAAAATGCATATAACTATATTTGAATGCATATATTTAATTTTTATTTTATATACACATTTTTGCATTAAATATATTTAACCTGTTTTTTATTACTGTTTACTTTATTGATTACTTGAAAAAATTGAATCAATGTTTAATTGAAAGTAACTGTAAATTAAATGAAATTAAATTAAACTATGTAACTTAAAATTAAATTAAATACAATTAAATTAAAATGCACATTAGTTTTTGATGTGGCACTGAAAAAAAAAAAAAAAAATAGTATTAGCTAATTTTTGGTATCATGACCACAGTTCTATCCTAGAGTCTGTAACACGCAAACCCCCTCTGAATCGGAGGACTTTAGCACCAGCGATGAGTGGCAAGTCAGCAGAATGCTTTTTCCACCTGCCTGTTACATAACTGTGCCTTCACTGTTTAAGATGAATCACAGAATAAAAGAAAGCTGTAGGGCCACAGGTTCAAAGGATTTGATGAGAGAAAATGCAATGAAAAAACAGCTGATGGATGGGTGTGAGATGAGAGGGAGAGAAGGCGAGTAAAAGAGAGAAAGATACTCACTTCATGCCATCCTCTTTCTCATCTCCCTCTGCTTTGTCCTCCTCGCGGTCTCCCTCTTTCTCTCTCTCCTTGTCGTCTTTCTCCTCCTGGTTGTTGCGGTTCAGCTGTTGCTGTGTCTGTTGGTTATTCTGTGAATACAACCAATCAAAACACAGCAAATTAAAACCATTAAAATCTAATTAAAATCATCTAAAACATTACTTCTACCCACAAAAAAAAACTATAACTCTCCCATTTGGAATAAATGGACATCCCGATTCAATTTAAAAATTAACTCGCAAGCTCAAGTACACCAATGATGAGCAAAAAAAAAGCTGTCTGGAACCAGGACATTGTTCTATAAATCTCTTTGTAAAGGAAAAAAAACATCCATAAGAGGAGGTGGTGCTCCTATCACCCAGGCCTCAGTTCTATGTATCTGGGTTTTCCTTCACATAAGAATTCCATTTTGAATTATGAGGCAACATAAACCATCTATTTTTGTCAGGAAAGAGAGAGTATGATCCACTACAGCTACTACGAAAGGGAAAATGGATGACAGAAGGATGAAGGGGGAGGGGACAGAGACAGGATCTGAGAGGACTCCGGACAGACAAATGAATGGAGTGAAAGAGTCTCGACATATCCAAGCTCCGATTCTGCCTCAGAGCTTTTCAATATGACAGACAGCACCTCATATAACCTTACATACACACAAACAGGAAGCTGACAAATGTATATGAATGTCATCTTTTCCCACATGATTGTGTGCTAACATAAATGTTTTTGCATAATGGAATTCAAGTTTTTCAAATCTTTGTAACATTATGAATGTCTTTACTGTCACGTTTGATCAATTTTATGTGCCTAGCTGATTAAAAGTATTAATTTCTTTCTTTAAAATTGTTCCAACCCCAAACTTCTGTATTTCACCTGAGGATAGCCACATTACAGTACAATTTCCAAATTTTACTTGAAATTTTAACAAATAGATTTCAGCTAAATGAATCTTCCATGCTAACCATTCGATTCCAAAATAAAACAAAAAAAACCTTTTTTTTTCTCTGAAAACAATTAGATGTAATGTCAGCTGCCCACATCCCTCATTACAGTGCTGCATGAACACACAGTTATTCATGCACAGTTAAACACACATATACAAGATGCACTCATCCACACAGTAACTTGCTTTCTGTTTTTTTGTCTCCCTTTTGTTCATGCTTTCTTTCACCCATCAGGCTCATCCCACTGTATCCCTCTCTTTCTGTGTTTGTGGCACAGGCTGAGAGCGTTTTAATGTGAGCCCATTAAGATCAGGCGATATTTAATGACCTGAGCAGAAACGCTCCAGCAGCAGAAGACCAGTAAAACAAATGTGTTTGGGCAGTGGGCTCATTATTCTATCAGATTTTATTGCTATTATTGCAGGCAACACACACACACACACACACACACGCAGCTCTCAGTCTAACAACTTCACCTCATGCTCTCCTGCTTTAAAACAAAACACAAACATTACATACATTCACGATGCAACAGTTTCATGAATCTCTCTGTGCGTGATCTTACACACACGTACAGAAATTAATAAGTGTGTAAGATCAGGAGAGAATCACTGCAGACTCTAACGGCAGCTAGATAATTACTTCATATAGTTTGACCTCACTTTGAGGTATGCGCCTGTGATACTCATTAGAATCATGCTGATTTATTTTTAATAACACACTCTCATTAAAAAGACAAGCTGAATTCACACCGGCACTATAGAGACTATAATCATGAGGTACATGCTGTAAATGAGGAGACAGATCCACAAGCAAACAAACAATGTTTATATAATTTAATATAGCATAATGCCATAGTCAACATCCTTGAATTTTTCAGGGCTTATGCTGCATTCCATTCAACTCGGAAAGTCATAATTCCAGCTTTCTACTTGGAAAGTGCAATAGGACACCACTCGATGCAGAGCTTTCAATTTCAACACTCTTTTGCAGTCTACAATTGATTTTGCAGAGACTTTGGTGACATCATGCAAAATAGCGAGACTTTAAGCATATAACATATCAGTGTTTCATTGTGCAACATTACACAATACACAATAATAAACCTGTTTACAATGTATAAAATATCATAAATGATCTTCTGTTGATAATCACACATCTCAAAAACAAATTCTAGCATTAGCGTTTTGTTTCTTTATACATCCTTTTCCAAGTAGGAACATCTCACACCCGATTTTGAATGAAATGCAGCATTAAAGCATCAAAGGGCATGCTGGGAGATGTAGTCCCATGCTCACCTGGCTCCTGCCTCGGCGACGGTAGCTCCTGCGAACAATGTTCTTGTAGTTCTCATTCTTCTTAGTCAGGTAGTAGAACAGGACACACTCAGCCACCGTCTGTGGAAGGACACACACACGCAGAGCACTTCAGACCTTACTCGTTCTGCTCATACACTCTCATCATATTCATGCACACTGCCTGCAGTGCAAACAACGAGATGAAGAGGATGGTATTAATAAAACGCAGGTGTACCTTTCTCTCCAGAAAGGAGGCTATCAGGCCAAAGTTTTTTGGGTGCTGGATAAACCTGCAGTGAGGGAGAGGAGGAGCTGTGATACAGAGCAAACACAACCTTCAAATGCTGTATTTTACAGTTTAATTCTTTCGCTAGATATTTCAGCTGAACAAATTTTCTATAGCATCCTTTTTGGTTAAAGTGCATTCATTCAGCTGTCATGTTTGCCTGTTGCGGCTTATCCACATTATGTGCACAAAATCAATGCTGACACAATTAATAATAGGGGTGGGAATCACAAGATACCTCACGATACAATACGATACGATACATGGCTCACGATACCGATAATATCAATTCTGTGCATATTCTGTGATAATCGATATATTGCTAGACAATCCTATAATTATACATCACGATATCTGTCTATGAAAACAAAATGCCTGTGAAAAGGTTAAGTGCAGGTTTTCTCTCTTTATTCAAGTCCAAACTGCTGAAAATTTTGCAAAACTTTAAATTCTGTCATCATTTACTTACTCTCAAGTTGTTTTAAACCTGAATGAGATTCTTTCTTCTGTTGAACATAAAAGTTATTTTGCAGAATGTGGGTAACCAAACAGTTAGCGGTCCCCAGTGACTTCCACAGCATTTTTTCCCCTATGAAAGTTAACGGGGACCAGCAACTTTTTGGTTACCCACATTCTTCAAAATATTTTCATTGTGTTCAGCACAAGAAAGAAATTAATACAGGTTTGGGACAACATGAGAATGAGTAAATAATGACAGAATTTTTAATTTTTGGGTGAACTATCCCTTTATTGACAAGCAGCAGCATGTTTAGTACAATTAGTCTGCTGTCGCTTTAAGAGCTGCACGCATCTAATATACAGGCACGTTTTTCTCTCAACTGTTTACTTTCACTTTAAACATAACCAACTGTGCTTATATGTAAAAACCTTGTGTGTTTTTGACAGTATTAGCACATTCGGACGCAAAAGATAAACTTAGTCCAGTGTGACGGTTCCAGCAAGTAACCGGTTATTTCTGAGTTACAGGTGATTTGGCTGAGGGGAGTGGTTGCACACCTGAAGGTAATCATGGCGCTCTATAAAAGACGACTACCATTTATGTTGACATTCTACGTTGTTCTGTTTTATATGGACAAATAAATTCACTTAATAATAAGCTGTGGTGTGTGGTGACTCCCTTATTTTGTTGCGGTCCAGAAAGAGATCGTAACAAATGGGGGCTCGTCCTAAAGCGAAATTACATCATAACAAGATAAAAAATTTTTATTAAGATTTGGTATGATGTCGATTCGATTTAAGTAGGCTAAATGTGTAAAATAATGAGCTTTCGGTATGCGCGTTGTTTTGAGAGACTGACATAAATATTGTGTATTTAAGCTGTCTCGTGAGTTCGAAGGTAGTCCTCATTAATGGTAAGTGCATTTTTCTTTTTGCGGGTGATTCATTGTTCATTTTTCTCCCGGGTAGGAATTAGCAACGCTTGGCATTGTTTTGTTATTTTGCCTTTTTTATTTTTGTGCAGGCTTTTGGGTGAAGTACACCGCCGTGGTTTTGAATTGAGCTGTTTGTTCAGTTTCTAAACCATCGGTATTTTGGTGTTTAATGTCGCTTTACTCTTGAAAGCTGCATGAAGACTAGGCATAGGTTAGCTTAGTGGGTTGGTAGGCAGTTTAGAAGGGGGAGAGTGAATAATTGTTTCACCTGTTTTGTTCCGGAGATGAAATAAATGCACTTGCTTTGTGTTTAAAAGAGTAACATTTTATGTAAACAGAATGTATCGTCTATAGAGGAATTTATTAAAGATCCATCAGAGGAGATATTAAATTCTTTCGTAAAACAACAATTATGGGAACTTGTAGATCACTTTAAAATTGGTGATGTAGACAAGAAAATACGGAAAAAGGAACTATGTTCTGTTGTGAAAAATTGGTTATGTGAAAAAGGCTTTATGGCGGCTTCTCCACAGAGAAAATGCGACATTGATGCAAAAGGTTCATTAGACATTTTCTCTGGGTTATCTTTCGAAGAAAGAAAAGAGATTTTGCAAATGCAGCAGCTTCATGATAAAGAGTTGATCAAAGAAACTAATCATTATGAACTGGAGATTGAAAGAATAAGGAACGCAAATATGCTCAGGAAATACGAGATTGAGTTTGAACAGAAAAGGTTAGAGGCTGAGAAATCCGCACGAGATCATGAGCTGCAGGTGGAGCAGTTGAGATTGGTAAAGGAAGGGAAAATGTTGTCAGAGGTTGGGGAGAGTGGTTTAAGTTTATCTGGAGGGTTTGACTTGGCCAGTAATTTAAGGCTGCTTCCCAAATTTAATGAACATGACCCTGATGTTTTTTTTACTTTATTCGAGACTTTGTCCGCAGAAAGAAATTGGCTGATGTCTATCCGAATTGTCATGCTTCAAACGGTGATTACAGGCAAGGCACAGGAGGCATATGCAGCACTCACGATGGAGGACAGAAAAGATTATGATAAGGTAAAAGTAGCTATTCTGAAGGCCTACGAACTGGTTCCTGAAGCCTATCGCCAGCGATTTCGAAGCTGGAGAAAAGGTGATTGCCAAACACACTTTGAGGTGGTAAGGGATCCGGTTTCTTATTTTGATCGTTGGTGTGTTGCGTCCGCTGTTGATGATTTTGAAAAGTTGCGTGATCTGATCATTTTAGAACAATTTAAAAATATTGTGCCCGAATACATTGCTATATACATAAACGAAAAGAAGCCAAAAGACGCAACGGAAGCTGCAGTTTTGGCAGATGATTATGTATTAATGCATAAAAAGGTGTACAGAAAAGATCGATCAGGTCAACAGAGTGGTAATTTTAATGAAAATAAAGTTGGAACCAAGACATTTGAACAAACTTATCCTTCAAAATTAGAGAACAATGGTCGGATGAAGACTGACAGAGATCTAGTGTGCAACTATTGTTTTAATCTGGGACATTGGAAAAATAAGTGCCCAGTTCTAGCTGCAAAATGGAAGTCTGGAAAAAAGAAATTGCAAACTAATTATGTTAATCCTGTGTTAGTGACTGACATTACTGAAACTTCCAATGATTTTGATCCTGGTACTTCCATTGAGGCTGGAAATGAAGTATGTGATTCCAAAGTGATAGCCATGAAAAACTTTGTACCGTTCATTATGGAGGGTTGTGTGTCTTTGCCAAACTCTGAGAGTAAAATACCAATTAAAATCTTGAGAGATACAGGCTCATCAGAATCCTTCATTCTTGAATCTGCTCTGCCTTTTTCTGAGGTATCCGGTGAAGGGAGGAGTGTTTTGATTAGAGGAATTGGATTAAACACTCTTTCTGTTCCTCTGCATAGAGTACACCTGACTTCTGACCTGATCTGTGGAGAAGTATCCATGGGAGTTCGTCCGTCTTTGCCAGTTGATGTGGTTACTGTCATCCTGGGCAATAATTTGGCTGGAGGTATGGTATGGCGAGATGTGATCCCACCTCCTGAGGTGGTGTCTATTCCAATCACGGAGAACTCTGACATTCTGCATCAAAATTTTCCTGAAGTATTTACAGCTTGTGCTGTGACTCGTGCAAGGAGTCATGAGATGTCATTGAAAGATGAAGTGTTAAAATTTGCTGTGCCTGGGTTATCTACCCTTTCGCCTATTTCTTATAGGGAGTTGGTAGATGCACAGCAGAAAGACCCTGAGATGCAGAGGTTGTTTGATGCTGTTATTCCGTTTCAGGAGGTAAGAAGTGCTGTTAGTGGATATTTTATCCAAGATGAGATGCTTCTAAGGAAGTACATCTCTTGTAAAAAAGGATTTGTTGGACGAGTGTATAATTCAAGTGGTGGTGCCGAAACAATTTCGAGACGTAATATTACAACATGCACATGGTGAAATTGCAGGTCATTTAGGAGTAAAAAAGACCTATGGCCGAATTTTACGACAATTTTATTGGCCCCGTTTGAAAATGGACATTTCGTCTTTCATCAGAACGTGTCACACTTGTCAGGTAACTGGGAAGCCAAATCAGTCGTTGAAACCAGTGCCTCTGAGTCCCATAGTTGTTACAAGCAAACCGTTTGAGCATCTAATAGTTGATTGTGTGGGACCACTGCCTCCGTCTAAGTCAGGGAGTACATATTTGTTGACCGTAATGTGTCAGGCAACTCGTTATCCAGCAAAAATTACCACCAAAGCAGTTGTGAAAGCTTTAACTCAGTTCATATCTATTTTCGGGATACCTAAAATTATTCAGAGCGACAATGGTACCAACTTTACATCACGAATGTTTGCTGAGATTTTGAAGGTGATTAAAGTGAAACACAATCAGTCGAGCGTGTATCATCCTCAAAGTCAGGGTGCGATTGAACGATTCCACCAGACTTTGAAGTCCCTGTTGCGTGCCTACTGTGTGGAGCTAAACCGTGACTGGGAGGAGGGTTTACCCTGGCTATTACTTGCTGCTAGGGAAGTACAGCAAGAGAGTTTGGGATTTAGCCCAAATGATCTAGTTTTCGGTCATCGCGTACGTGGACCTCTTTCTGTTGGGATTACGTGAGGAAGATCCTCCGCAAAATTTGGTAGAGTATGTGAATGGTTTTCGTAGACGTTTGTTTTTGGCCGGATTGAGTGCACAGAAGAATCTTGCTGTTGCGCAAGAGAAAATGAAGAAGCACTATGATAAGCATGCTGAGGGTCGTGTCTTTACACCAGGTGATCAGGTGTTAATTTTGTTACCGTCTTCTGGATCTCCTTTTTGTGCTAAGTTTACTGGGCCATATACCGTTCTTCGGAAATTGTCTGATGAAAATTATCAAGTTGCAACCCCAGATCGGCGAAAATCTAAGCAGTGTTTCCATGTAAATTTGATTAAAGCTTATTGTTCTCGAAATTCTGAAATCCAACCAATGAAATCAGTTGCTACTGCTTCTTTTGAGTCTTGTCAACTTTCTGCTGAGGGAAGAGAAGATATGGTTGTTAATGAGGATATAGTTGTCCCTGAAGATTGTGTTTTGCTTCCTCAATTAAAGAATTTAGAGACTCTTGAGAATTTAGATGTTCTGTTTTCACATTTGACAGAGGTGCAAAATAAAGAGCTAACCCAATTGTCATGGGAGTTTCCTGGCTTGTTCTCAGATGTACCTACTCATACTCATCTGATACAGCATGATGTTGATGTGGGAGACGCACAACAAGCATTTTTATAGGGCTCCAGTTAGTAAGAGGAGAGTATTGGAATCTGAGATTCAATATATGATTGAGAACGGAATAGCTGTTCCGTCGAACGGAATAGCTGTTCCGTCGTGTTCAAGTTGGGCTTCACCTTGCTTGTTAGTGAGGAAATCAGATTCGACTTATAGATTTTGCACTGATTATCGCAAACTAAACGCCATCACTAAGCCCGATGCTTTTCCACTTCCTCGAATGGAGGATTGTGTAGATCAGGTGGGTACAGCTAATTTTGTAAGCAAGCTAGATCTTCTTAAGGAATATTGGCAAGTGCCGTTAACTCCTGGAGCTAGAGAAGTAACCTCATTTATTACATCATCTGAATTATACTCATACTCTGTTATGAGTTTTGGTTTACGAAATGCACCTGCCACCTTCCAGAGATTGATGAATCGAGTGGTGTTTGGGCTGGAGGGGTGTGCAGTGTATTTGGATGATGTTATTGTTTCAGCGAGACCTGGGAACAACATTTAGTTCGTCTGCAAGCTCTTTTAGCTCGGTTGGCTGAGGCATGTCTTACAGTTAACTCGGCTAAATGTGAGTTTGCCAAGGCTACAGTAAGATATCTGGGAAAAGAGGTTGGCCAAGGCAAAGTACGGCCAGTTTAGGCCAAAGTTTTGGCCATTCAGTAGTTTCCTCCTCCGTCCACCAAAAGAGACCTCATGCGTTTTTTGGGGATGGTCGGTTATTACCGGGGTTTCTGTTTTAATTTTTCAACCGTGGTTTCTCCGCTGACTGACTTGCTTAAGAGCTCAGTGAAATTTGATTGGAGCGATAATTGCCAGAGAGCTTTCGAAAATGTTAAGCTGTTGTTGTCCACTGCTCCTGTTCTAGCTGCCCCGAGGCTGGATATGCCATTTAAATTACAGGTGGATGCCAGCCAGATTGGTGCTGGAGCTGTTCTATTACAGACAGGGGAGGATGGATTGGACTATCCCGTAAGTTTCTTTTCTCGTAAGTTCAATACTTATCAGAGAAATTATTCAGTGATTGAGAAAGAGGCTTTATCTTTAATCTGGGCACTTCAGTTTTTTGACGTGTATGTGGGGGGAGGAAAGCCCGTAGAGGTGTATTCTGATCACAATCCCTTAACATTTTTGCATTCTTTACAGTTGCCGAGTCAGCGCTTAATGCGTTGGATTCTCTTTTTACAGCCTTATAATTTGATTGTTAGACACATTAAAGGATCGGATAACGTAGTGGCAGATGCGCTGTCACATGTTCCTGATCTGATCAATTAAGTACAATGGTTGTTCAGTTGTTTCTGTTTTTCCGTGCACTTTTGTCGCCTTAATTTGCTTTCAGGATCCAGATTGCTGGTGGCGAGGTGGGCAGTGTCGGAGAATGGAGAGAATTGTGAGAATCATGGGTGTACTGTGATCAGAGGTTGTATAACAACATGTATAGAAATGTATGATTTCTAAGTTTTGGTTATGGTGGTGGTTCCTTTTTATCCGGTTTGGGAACAGATTTTTTTTAAAGGGGGGTGTGTGACGGTTCCAGCAAGTAACCGGTTATTTCTGAGTTACAGGTGATTTGGCTGAGGGGAGTGGTTGCACACCTGAAGGTAATCATGGCACTCTATAGACTGGGGCAGAGATGGCGAGTGTGGCATGAGCGTGGGCTGGGCTTGTGCGGAGCCTGAAGGTAATCATGGCACTCTATAAAAGACTGGGACAGAGATGGCGCTGTTTGTCAGGTGCTGTTTGTCAGGCTTTTTAGTCTGCGCGCACTTCAAGTGTTCATGCTCAGAAAAAGTGCATATCAGAACCGCACATGAATTAAACGTTTAACCAGCAAGGCTTTAGAGCACATGCAAATAATGCAGTTCTTGCATATTGCGTACTCTTTGTCGATTTTGTTTGTCCCACCGATGGTATAAAAGTAGAAGTGGGTCCAGACTTTGGACTTAACGTGGCTGGTACATCTATTATTTTACTTACATTGCTGTCCGCCATCACGTTAAAAAACTCTTTTTCTTAAGCTAGTTAACTTATGTTCATGTTTCACAATTATTGCAATCTTATTCTATTGTGCTCCGTCTGTTTGGTGCACATGCGCGCTGCGACGCTTGTTCACTTAAGTCTGTGAAGTTTAGCAGAGAATTGTATGCAAAAGGCTCCTGACAGCAAAATGGAAATATTTCCATGACTTTTTAACATTTACAGATAGAGAATATAACTGTGAAATGTAAGTTATGCACTGAGGAAAACAGCACAAAAGCATTAAACAGCACAAGTAGCCTATCTGTCAGCAGCACATGAGTCTGTCAGAGCATCTGACAGGGCGAGCCACTTTAAATCATACGTTAACTATATCTTACCAGTTATTTTAAAGCCCTTAATATAAAGCATGTCTCATATTTAGGATAAATTGGATTATGCACTTTCCCCACAGCAGCTCACTCTATGTCCTCTGCTATTATTCAGATGTGCTCTTATCAAACATACCATATCAAACCATATCGCCTTATAAACATATATTATCGTACAAACTCGATATACCGCCCAGCCCTAGCTTACATCAGCATCAGCCCATTGATGTAGATTTCAGCTGTTCACGTTTCACCTAGTGCTGCACCACTAGCCAACTATCAAACACAACCACTTGCACACAAACTGCTGAGCTCTTGAAAACCAGGAGAGAGATGCTAAACCACAGGCTGATGCATTTTAGTACCGATTTCGTAACTCCTCTTTCCTTCAAGCAAAATCAACATGCACATCAATGCAATGAGGACAGAACGTACTTCTCACGGAAAGTGTCCTTCTCCTGTTCACTCCACATGTTCATGACCTGTCTATCTTTGTAGACCTTCATGGGATCGTCCATCAGCCCATTCATGTTGATAAACTTTATTCTCTGCTGCTCGGCATCAAACAGCATGGGAGGAATCACAGCTAACTGACGCATCTGCTTCTCTGTGTTCTGCAGTGAGAGAGAGAAAGGAAGAGGCAGTCACTAATATGAAATGAAAATAAATATGCGAAAAGAAACCGAGAAACAGTAATGCCAAAAGCAAGGCAGATACAGTCAGCAAAAATGTGGCCACTGAATCTTATGTCTGTGTTTAGGAAGTGCATCAGCCACAAAACCCAACTGGTGGTGTAAGAGACCTTTAGTTGTTAATTCACTATTTGTGCACTTTTTCCAGACAGACACACAAACAATCCTTTTACATTCAAGAATATGCTTGTCTATTGAGTATTTTCTCCATAATTGTTCTTGCAGCCCCTTAGTATATAAAACACTGTTTTGGTAACATATACACTACTGTTCATGTTTGGTAAGACTTTTATGATGTTTTTGAAAGAAGTCTCTTATGCTCAAGGATGCATTTATATGATTTTTTTTTTTTTGATAGAAATATTTTGTAATACAAATATTTTACTGCCACTTTTAATCAATCTAATGCATCCTTGCTGAATACAATTAATTTCTTTAAAAAAATCTTATTGACTCCAAATATTTAAAAGGTAGTGTATAATACATGATTTGACTAATATTTTATTAGACAAAACAAAACAAAAAACTGCTGCAAAGGCGTATCTTTAACTATATGTTGTCATATGAACAGTCAGTGTCGATAATGATTCCACAAAACAATTTTTGCTTCATTCACCAAATTCTCACTAAGTTCATTCAGTATATGATTCAGATTAATTCAGATGGCTCAACTTGTGAGTTGTTGATTTATTAAAAGAGCCAGCTTACTGTATATTAAATTAATTAAAAGTATTAATAAGATTACTGTTTCGAATGCACAGCACAATATGAAGAGATGTGTCTTGACATTAATTCATGGTACAGAGTGTTTTATCTCCACAAATTCAAACTGCAAGCTCACAACTATGGTAAAATGTATTCTCCTTCTACGTTGCTGTAGATTTGGCACTGAAAAGCAGTGCAGGAAACAATGCGTTTATTCAAGCTCCAGCCCTACCTCTTGCTCTGAGATGCCGTCGATGATCTCAGAAACCTCATGTTCACTGCGAGCTGCTGAGGCCAAACCCCCACCTCGCTGAGCCACTCTACTGTAGTGAATCACATAAATATAGACATAAATACATTTATGAAACCACACGACCATGCAAATGTCTCCAAAGCTCATAACAACACAGGACCACTCACTTCTGCATACGCTCCTGCAGCTCTCTCTGTTTGCGGATCTCAGGAAACTGCTTTTCGTAATACTCCCGCACTTTGCTCTCTTTGGCTCTGCGACGTGGGTTATTCTCAATGCGCTCAACTTTCTTCTCCCAGGCCTCCATTAGCTGGTCGTAGCGCTGGCAGAATTTCTGTTCCTGAGCACACCAGTCAGAAAATAAAAGATGAATATCAAAGTCTAGACAGCGTATACTGCAGTAGAGTCATCAAGAGAGGAAACATTAGAATGAAAGTAATTACTGAATGCTAACAGTTCCAGTGTAGTTTTTAATAACCCCATTATTCGATAACTACAATTCAACCAATTCAATGACATCAATTCAACTACTCTTTCCTAACACTGGGATCCTCATTGGGATCCTATGGAAGGCTATTCTTGTTGTCTTAGTAATGAATAAACAAATGTGCCCACTATTTAGGTACTGCGAGCTGCAACAGTGCCATCCTGCTGTGTGTTTTGTGTGTGCATTTGAGTGCTTTCACTTACCCACTGTTTGCGAGCATGATTTCTTCTTTTGAAATACAGAATGAGCTTCTTCCTCATTGCCTGATTTCTGTAAAAGGGGAATACATAATTAAACAACATAAAATGCCACCTTTAAACTTCAGCTGTGATGCGTCTCATCAATATTTGCATATACAAGAGAGTCCAAGTGTAAGCAATCTTTGTGTGACAGAAAGCAAAGGCAGTCATATTTTGCATAGTTCTAGGACCCTAGATATGGCTTGGGTCCCTCCTTAAATGCAAAGTCTGTTTTGTTTTGGGCTTATTTTATTGTCCACCAGGTGGAAATTGTAAGTGATCACTTGGAAAAGGAACAGCAAAAACGGCACTAGCAACATTCCTTAGGACCACTAAAAATGTAACAATAAATTTAAGACAATATAGCTCAATGCAAATTAAATTTTCAAATATATTAATATAGAACATGTTATTTTTAATTGTAATAATATTTTACAATATTACTGTTTTAATGTATTTTTGATCAAATAAATGCAGCTTTGGTGATCATAAGAGCCTTCTTTTAAAAACATAAAAATCATACTGACCTCAAGCTTTTGAAGTGTAATGTCTGTTTGTTTATTTCTGTGTTTAAGAGAGTTAGCTAGCTAGTTACCTAGCAATGCAGGTCAGATTAGTAATCATCTTTAATTCTCTCACTGCATGCAGATTTATTCTCTCAAACGGCAGAGGTCACGACCATTAATTTACTCGCATCTTGCGTTAATAAGTCCTACACGAGGGTGTGTGCATCTTTCAGCAGTTTGGACAAATTTGGACAAAAGAGGTGGCACTGCACCTACTGGCACTGCAGATGCCTATTTGGCATCTGCAGATGACAGGATTAGCTGCTGTGCGAGACGTGCTGGAACCAAGAATGCAGCTCAACGCCCATGATCTACCCACACATCAACTATTACACAAATATTTCCCACTGGTGCTGCTCAGGTTGATAAAGGACTCCTGAGAACAAAACCCTCAATTGTGTGTGATCAAAGAACAGCTGAAATACATCTTTCTCAAACACATATTTGCCTGTCTATAAATTATGAGGCCAAATAACCCAAAAGATCACAGAAAGATTGGAAGTGGGGGATTTGTTAACCACCATAAAGGTACGGTCACATTACGGTCACACCTGCAAAAGAAGGTCCACTGTCAATTAAGCAGAGTTGTATGAAGTATAGCTCACACCAAAGTCAATTTCAAACTAAGCAGTTTTCTGGTGGCCATCGCGGCGAATTTGACCAACTTGAACACAGGTGAAATCTGTGAACTTTTTCGCCTTATGCAAAAAACTCTGATTAGACCGTTAGCATCTCGCTCAAAAATGACCAAAGAGTTTCTATATTTTTATTTAAAACTTGACTCTTCTGTAGTTACATCGTGTACTAAGACAGATGGAAAATGAAAAGCTGCGATTTTCTAGGCCGATATGGCTAGGAACTATACTCTCATTCCGGTGTAATAATCAAGGAACTTTGCTGCCATACCATGGGTGCAGCAGGCGCAATGATATTACGCAGCGTCTGAAAATAGGCTTATTGGAAGTTACCTAGCTGGGACTATTTTCAGGCGCTGCGTAATATCATTGCACCTGCTGCACCCATGGTACGGCAGCAAAGTTCCTTGATTATTACACCAGAATGAGAGTATAGTTCCTAGCCATATCGGCCTAGAAAATCGCAACTTTTCATTTTCCGTCTGTCTTAGTACACGATGTAACTACAGAAGAGTCAAGTTTTAAATAGGAAAAATATAGAAACTCTCTGGTCATTTTTGAGCGAGATGCAAATGGTCTAATCAGATTTAATGATCTATGCTAAGCTAAGCTAAAAGTGCTACCAACCAGACCCAGAGATCGGCTGAATGGATTCGAAAACTCAACTGTTTAACTCTAGGGGAGTTGGAAAATGAGCCTATTTTCAAAAATAGTGGAGTGTTCCTTTAAAGTCTCTACTAATGAGCTGATGAGTTAAATCGGGTGTGTTAGATGAGGGAGACAGTGCTGGGGTGCTCCAGGACAGTTTTGAAAACCATTTCAGAGACATAAAAAAAATTGTTTTTACTGATATACGGCCTGACAACATCTCATCTGACCTACAATGTGCCTACAATGCTAGTTCACTGTTGTTCTACTGAAGCTCCCTCATCACCTGTACCTTTTCCGCACTCGTTTGACTAGCACCTGGCACTGAGGTGAAGTTGTAGTACGTCTGAAAAGTCTCCCGTTTGATGTGGTCTTAAAGATGTTGTGTGTCTAAATAAATGCAATTCTTTTCAAGAAAAAATAGACAGAAGCAGCAGTTGTGAGGGGGTGGCCAACCCTAGCTCCACCCCTGCATTAATTGCGTTAAATACTAATATTAATATTAATATTAATATTAATATCAATATTAATAAATACTAATATACTATTATAAAATTTTAACACGTTAAACTGAAAAAAATTAATTGTCTGCTAAAAATTACACGGAAGATTAAATAAATTCAGCAAGTGAGGGACTAAATAAACATTTAAGGAACTGTAATATTAGAATAGTCATTGGGCTCTATGCTTGTGTGCCTACAATGCTAGTTCTAAATTTCATTCCTCAATCATTATAAACGCTGCAGTAATACAGGCGGCATATAAGCATGATTGTAATTGTTTAAGCTACAGATCTCTATGTCTCTCAGTGGATAGAGTTGTTTTTGGTTTTGACGGAAAGAGCAAGAGATACAGAGAAATATACTCACATCTTGATGTTCTCATGGTACTGCTTGGTATCAGACGGCTGGTTGTATAAAGGCTGTAGGGGAGACAGATGAAAGCAGTGGAGTTCAGTTTCACACACACACACACAGCAGTCACATCAATGCATCCCAGCTCTGGGAGAACTTCTTTTTCTACCGTCCCATTTTTCAGTCAAGCCCAGAAACACAGAAAAGAGTGTCTTCTCCAACACCACATCTAAAATCTTCTGCTATCATCATCGCACACTCGTTTGAGATGTCAAGCGAAGGATTTTTCCGTGGGGAAAATGGACATATATATATATATATATAATATATATATATATAAATAAAACCTTAAAACATATGTGACCCTGGACCACAAAACCAGTCTTAAGTCGCTGGGGTATATTTTTAGCAATAGCCAAAAAAAACATTGTATGGGTCAAAATTATCGATTTTTCTTTTATGCCAAAAGTCATTAGGTGAAGATCATGTTCCATGAAGATATTTTGTAAATTTCCTACCGTAAATATATCAAAATAGTTCCTAGCCATATCGGCCTAGAAAATCGCAACTTTTCATTTTCCGTCTGTCTTAGTACACGATGTAACTACAGAAGAGTCAAGTTTTAAATAGGAAAAATATAGAAACTCTCTGGTCATTTTTGAGCGAGATGCAAATGGTCTAATCAGATTTAATGATCTATGCTAAGCTAAGCTAAAAGTGCTACCAACCAGACCCAGAGATCGGCTGAATGGATTCGAAAACTCAACTGTTTAACTCTAGGGGAGTTGGAAAATGAGCCTATTTTCAAAAATAGTGGAGTGTTCCTTTAAAGTCTCTACTAATGAGCTGATGAGTTAAATCGGGTGTGTTAGATGAGGGAGACAGTGCTGGGGTGCTCCAGGACAGTTTTGAAAACCATTTCAGAGACATAAAAAAAATTGTTTTTACTGATATACGGCCTGACAACATCTCATCTGACCTACAATGTGCCTACAATGCTAGTTCACTGTTGTTCTACTGAAGCTCCCTCATCACCTGTACCTTTTCCGCACTCGTTTGACTAGCACCTGGCACTGAGGTGAAGTTGTAGTACGTCTGAAAAGTCTCCCGTTTGATGTGGTCTTAAAGATGTTGTGTGTCTAAATAAATGCAATTCTTTTCAAGAAAAAATAGACAGAAGCAGCAGTTGTGAGGGGGTGGCCAACCCTAGCTCCACCCCTGCATTAATTGCGTTAAATACTAATATTAATATTAATATTAATATTAATATCAATATTAATAAATACTAATATACTATTATAAAATTTTAACACGTTAAACTGAAAAAAATTAATTGTCTGCTAAAAATTACACGGAAGATTAAATAAATTCAGCAAGTGAGGGACTAAATAAACATTTAAGGAACTGTAATATTAGAATAGTCATTGGGCTCTATGCTTGTGTGCCTACAATGCTAGTTCTAAATTTCATTCCTCAATCATTATAAACGCTGCAGTAATACAGGCGGCATATAAGCATGATTGTAATTGTTTAAGCTACAGATCTCTATGTCTCTCAGTGGATAGAGTTGTTTTTGGTTTTGACGGAAAGAGCAAGAGATACAGAGAAATATACTCACATCTTGATGTTCTCATGGTACTGCTTGGTATCAGACGGCTGGTTGTATAAAGGCTGTAGGGGAGACAGATGAAAGCAGTGGAGTTCAGTTTCACACACACACACACAGCAGTCACATCAATGCATCCCAGCTCTGGGAGAACTTCTTTTTCTACCGTCCCATTTTTCAGTCAAGCCCAGAAACACAGAAAAGAGTGTCTTCTCCAACACCACATCTAAAATCTTCTGCTATCATCATCGCACACTCGTTTGAGATGTCAAGCGAAGGATTTTTCCGTGGGGAAAATGGACATATATATATATATATATAATATATATATATATAAATAAAACCTTAAAACATATGTGACCCTGGACCACAAAACCAGTCTTAAGTCGCTGGGGTATATTTTTAGCAATAGCCAAAAAAAACATTGTATGGGTCAAAATTATCGATTTTTCTTTTATGCCAAAAGTCATTAGGTGAAGATCATGTTCCATGAAGATATTTTGGATGTATAAATCTAAATTTCGAGAAACTGACCCTTATGACTGGTTTTGAGGTCCAGGGTCACATATTAATAAAAGATGAATTAAGAAATCAGCTCATTCGTTTCAGAAAAAACCTGCTAAACACTGTGACAAATTTTGAGTAACACTGCAAAGAAAAACAACATTATGAACACGACTGTGAGATATGCTGTCACAGGATATGATGACATAAACTGAGGACAGTCAACGTCAACTCTGACATAATCAGTTGATGAGACACCTGACCCCTTGACACTGTGCAAGTACACGAGCTGAACTGATACTGCTATAAAACAAATATATTGACTCTATTAGCATCGGCTGACATCATAAGCTTTTTTTAATAGAGAAGATTGATGGAAAAAAGAGGGACGATGTATGAAAGAAGGATAATGGAAAATAAATATGAGGAGAAATGTGGACTCACCAGCTCCACTCGGGGTCCGAGTCCCTCCAGGATCCGGTGAGCCTCCTCTGCCTTTTTCTGTTGAAAAAACACACAGCACACATGTCAGCGGCACATCAGCAAGGCAACACACCTTAAACTCTCTCTCTAGCGCACACACATAAACAAGACAGTGTGTAAGGGATGTACTATTAATAGAGCTCTCAACAGAAGACACTCACTGCCCTCTGCCATCTACCTCTCTCCCCTCTCTCTTTGGGAAAGTGGAGAGAGAGAGAAAGAGGGGGAGAGGGAGAGAGAAAGAAGGCTGGGGAGGTAATCCAATTAGATGCAATAAAGAAAGAAGAATCTATAAAATTCTGTGCTGTCTTCCTCAAATGCAGAGAGAGTGAGAGAGAGAGAGAGAGAGAGAGAGAGAGAGAGAGAACCACTCTACATTGAAGTGAACCCTGAAAAAAGTCCCCTGATTCAGATGGTCCTGAAGCTGCAAAAACAAACTAACATGACTAACAA